AAAGAAATGAAAATTTTCAGTTTAAGGGACATATTATTCACTCCCGTACATAGCATGAGTCCATCCATTACATAAAAGGGTCCATTTGTCATAATCTCACAAAAGGAAGAAAGATAATTTTGAAATTCAAAGGCCCAAATAAATTCCACTTGATAAATGGCAAACATGTGCTAGTTGTAGTGTTGATATTATAAACAAGAGAGAGAACAGGTACTCATTGGAAGGGAATCATACCATGTATGGCTTCCATGTTGTCTTCCTTGTAAACACCAAGGGGTGAGCCATGGACAGATAAGAGCATCTCCCCAGGCTTCGGGAGCCTTCGTGTCTTGGGTGTCATCCCAATAGACAGCCTCTGGCTACTCACCTGCGGCGTCAACCAGGGTTGATTAGATTATACTCTTGTCACAACTCAATACCTAGAAAACTTGTCCAAATAACTTATTTTTCTCTCAACACAATTAAGGTCACTGAACTTAATATTTTCCGGTTTTCCTCTTTACATATCGATTTCTATGTCAACATTACTGGTTTTTTTTTTCAGAAGTCCAGAACTTTGGACTCTTCAACATTCTGAAAGGGCTTACAACATAATCTCCCTAATTTACGTAAATTCACTAAAGGAACAAGGGTTCGCTCGTAGTTGTTAGCACTAATAGAAAATCAGCTTAGCACTTCTTTTAGGTCCTGAGGATAGACACTGATAGCATCTATACTTCTGGAGCTCATGCACTTCAGTAAGCCATTTAGGCCTTCTACTTATTCAAATTTATGGTAAAATAATTTGAAATCTAACCAAAAGTTATCAACAGAACAACACAAATTGTCGTAATATAACCAATTGCAGCTCGAATAGACCCAAATATGATAAATCAATCGAGAAGCTACAAACCCCAGGAGTTTGGAGAGTATCTTGCCTCCCTAGCATCAGACTATCAAATGGCTCCTCTAAACCCTACAATAGAAATTTCAGCAAGGTAAATATCTGCATGTGTATGAATGGATGGATGTATGCATTTATGTATGTATGTGTGTGTATTTGCATATGCATGTGTGTATGTGCATATACATGTGTGTCTGTGTGCATATGTGTATGTGTGTGTGCGTCATGTGTGTCTGTTTGTATGCACAACATGGAATTGAACCTTTACTATATATTTAGTGCATGTGTGCTACATAAGCATATAAAAATGTATTTAAACATTTGAATTTTCGTGTTAGACACATTTGAAAACTCCACTAATCTAGAAGTGTGTATAAGAAGAGAACATACAAAGTCGCTCATCTGCAGATTATCAGCACCCAGAAGGCTTGTTTTATCTGCCACCAACCAACTCAATCATGTGAGATATAAAAAACACACAAACAATAAGGGGTACAAACTCATTCCTCAAATTCCAGATCCCCATGTCCAAAAAATAGGAGTTTCTAAAGTTGCTAATACCTGCTTTACTAGAAAACTCAAAGCCACCAAGAGATGGAATTGCAGCTGAACAACCAGAATAAGCAATGGACAACCGGCGAAGAAGAGTCTCATGTAAATCCATTCCATCATTCATGGATACATTGCCATCTTTATCAATCCATTGCACTTCCATTTGTCCATTTTCTCCATTTCTTCCATTCGACAGGTTTTGAAAGTTCTCTTTAAAATATTGCAATAGAGGGGTTCGCTGCTGTTCCTTGTTGAAGTAGGAGCGAAGCAAACGCAAATTAGTCAGGAGATGTTCAGTCTCAACATCACGAATAGCCCTAATGGCAGAAATTTGCCGCTCAACTGTGAAAAGACAAACAAACAATACGAGCAATTGGTCACAAATTAATTGAAATTTGAATTCTAAAATATAATTTAGCAACTTAAATGCACGAAAATTGCTCATTGAATCTGGATTTTGGACAGATGACAATAAAGAGGGGATTAGAAAATCAAAACTTTTTAAGACTAATAAAAGGATGGACAGCCCAACATCAAAAGAAAAATAGAGAATTCATTCTTTTCCGATGGAGAATCAGAAGCAGAGTTTCTCATTAAAATGGAAACCATATTACAACCCATTGAACGTTAACAATCAACCTATAAAAAGAAAAGAAAAAAAAAGAAAAAAAAACCCCAAAATTGAATAAATTAAATACAAATGCTGTCAGTAGAAACACAAATATAAGATGCGTGAAGTGAAATTATACCATCTGGGTCTGTGAATTGAGCTTCTTGTTTCACATTCTGGGGCTCCTTTGCCTCTGCAACATTGAAATCGGTCCCTGGTGACAAGGCAACTTGTTTTACAGTTTTCTTAGCTCTTTTTCTTGCCATTTGAACTGGTAAATTCTGCTATGACATACAAAAACAATTCCATAAATCAACTATAAAATTTATACACGACTCACAAAATCGTCAATTTTTTCGATTTGTGTTCAATACTAGCTTCATGCGTGAAACAGCAACCAGAGTATGTCAAATCAGAAATGCCAAACAACCCAATTTGCATACTCCAAAAAGAAGGGGGAAACACCCAATTTTAAAGGCACATTTTCAGTTCTTTCTTTTCTTTTCAAACGGTAAAAAAGAATGTCAGTTCAAAGTTGCAGAAGATTGAAAACATAAAACTAAGGGCCGATTTGATAGAAAACAACACAAAGTTACAACAAAACCCAAAAACACAGCAACAACAAAACCCAGAAACACAGTAACAGAAAAACACAATAACAGTCCAAATATCAAATACCCACAGCCTAAAAACACCAAATCTAAAACACCCAAACAGTTCAAGTCAGAGAATTTCATACCTTTGATGAAAGTCCAGAGGAAGAGAGAAGAGGCAGATCGAGAGTTGAGAGAGAGAGGGTTGAGAAAGCGAGACTGAGCGTGAGAGCAAGAGAACAAGAGTTCAGAGGGCGAGAGCGAGCGTGAAAAAGAAAATAGAAAACTGAAATCTGAAATTGATTTTCGGTAGCTTTCAAAATTATGCCTCGTTTTGAAATCAGTTTTCAATTTTCTACAAACTAAAAATTATAATTAGTTACCAACACATTTTCAATTTTCAATTTCATGAAAAGTGAAAATGAAATTATTATCAAACAAACCTTGAAAAAAAGATAGGGTTTTGTGTAGAGGTGTATTTACCACTAATCGGCCGGCGATTTGGGCTTGTCGAAGCTTGCAGTGCTGGGCGTGGCCACTTACAAAATAAGTTTGAATTTTGAGATTTTGGAGGTAAACAAATTCGTTCTAAATAATTGGCAAACAAGTGGGAAGAAAAGTTTACTAATATTTTATTTTGTTTTTGGTCTCATATTACTCTTGCATTAACGACAAAAAATAAACTGAAATTACGTGGAAGAATATTAGTGCTTTTTTAGAAAAATTTCTGCTCATAAATGCTTTTAGCAAAAGCATTTTTATTATAAGGCAAAAAGTCATTTTTGTGGTTCATCACTTTTACCATTAAAGTCCTTGTGGTTTCAATTTGAACATTTTCATCCGGTGGTTTCAATTTCAAGCAATTTAAGGATAACTCTCAATTTCTGTCAAATTTTTAAGTTTGAATTTTGAGATTTTGGAGGTAAACAAATTCGTTCTAAATAATTGGCAAACAAGTGGGAAGAAAAGTTTACTAATATTTTATTTTGTTTTTGGTCTCATATTACTCTTGCAGTAACGACAAAAAATAAACTGAAATTACGTGGAAGAATATTAGTGCTTTTTTAGAAAAACTTCTGCTCATAAATGCTTTTAGCAAAAGCATTTTTATTATAAGGCAAAAAGTCATTTTTGTGGTTTATCACTTTTACCATTAAAGTCCCTATGGTTTCAATTTGAACATTTTCATCCAGTGGTTTCAATTTCAAGCACTTTAAGGACAACTCTCAATTTCTGTCAAATTTTTTTAAGGGTTAATTACAGTTTGATACCCTGTGGTTACACCCTTAAGACATATTAGTCTCTATCTTTTCAATTTTTACAATTAGATACCCAATCTTTTAAATTTGTTATAATGTGATTCCCGCCGTTAGGGTTTCCATCAGATCTCTCTGTTAGTTGCCTACGTGGAGCTATGGGTCGCACAATTTTCACTTTTTGTTAATTTAAAATTGATTAAAATATATTTCTCTAGCAGCACCCCCTGCCGCGATTTTCTTCTCCCCCCATTCACCCATGACCACCACCTGCACCCACCGTCCAACTCCCCACACCCAAACCAACCTAAAACCCCAGCTCGCAACCACCCAGACCCCCTCCCCCACGATTTCTTCTCCCCCTGCCCAACCCCAAACTCCAAGAAATTATATAATAGTACGGTATCACCACATCAGCTGGTGATACTTCCATTCAAAATTTGCCATGTGTATTATTTTTATAAGAAATTAAACCTTTTGTTCTAGCTAGATTTGAAACTCCAATTTTACCCCAGACCCCCTCCCCCACGATTTCTTCTCCCCCTGCCCAACCCCAAACTCCAAGAAATTATAGAATAGATTTGAAACTCCAATTTTACCCTTTGAAACTAAAAAAAAATTAGCAGAGAAATTGTCCCAACAACAATCGCTCCGCCGTCGCTCTGCCTCCCATGGCTGCCGCCCCTTCCTCTGATTCCATTCCTTTGTCTCTGTATATTTGCAATCAAATCACATCTTATCATTGCCCTTTTCTCCAATTGTGCCAAAGCAAGCTCTTTTCTTCCACAAACAATACGGCGAAGAAGACCCAAATCCCATTTCAATTTGTTTATAACGTGCATAGCAATTTACTCAATCCCGCAAGCATCAAACCCATAGCAAGCCTTTCAATCATGTTGTATGTGTTAGACCTGGAGGTATTATAACCAATTTGGTCACTCCACCGGTCCTCCCTCTCTCTCCCTAAAACTGCAACTTCTCTTGAACCCTGCAAGATATCTAATTATTGCAAATGGGTCCTTACTAAAACAAAGAGGCCTTAATCATTATCATATTGAAATACTCATTTACTGTGACATTTTTTTAATAAAAGGAACATCGAGTAAACCCTAAACCCTATTGTGACATTTAAATGAACATCGAGTAATGGAAAGACAGAGAGGGGCGGCGGATGATGGCGGCATCACGATGGTAAGGGGTTGTTTTCACTTTCTATGTATTTCTATCAATTGTTTTAATTTCATTTTAAAGGGTAAAATTGGAGTTTCAAATTCAGCTGGAACAAATAGTTTATTTCTTATCAAAAGAATACACATGACAAATTTTGAGTGTAAATATAACCAGCTATCATGGTGATACCGTACTATTCTATAATTTCTCCCAAACTCCAGTCCCCACCCACAAAAAACCAACGTATTTATTTGCAAAGTCTACTTTAAGAAAAGAAATTTTTTTGCCTTTTGTTTTCTTTCCATCAGTTCATGATTTACCAAACAGGGGAGAAGACACAAGCCAACTCAAAATTCTCATAACCACATTCACCACAACTACGGGACACCAAATAATAATGCTAATTATACAGTTATGTATTGAGAAAAAAAAAAAAAAAAAAA